ACAAGGATTGAGGATGGAAATGAAAAAGGGGTGTTGAGACGGGATTAATATTGTGCATTGCAATAGCACATAGAAGGCTCAACTAACATTAGAACTGCACTACATTAGTTTCTGTAGGCTATCTGTTCTGGCACACAAGTAAGTAAATACATCCAATTTTACAAATAGACAAAGCAGCAAGAGCCAAATATTCATGACATTTAGGGTTCCAAATACAGACAGGTGCCTAATAGTTTTTTCAGTGTCTTAGGGGCCTAACTCTCATTGATTTCAGTGGGATTTCAGAATCTAAGCTTTTGCAAATCTAAGTAGCCACCATGCCATCTTAAAAATCTGATCCTAGGAAAGTGAATGAATGACTTGCTCAGAGTCACACAGGAATATAGCTGGGCAAAATAGTTTTTGGATAAATAGCTCATTCGGTGAAAAAATGTATTTTTTTTCAGTGCATTGCTGACATATGCAAATAGTTTTATTTTTTTTCTTTTGAAACTGTGAGAATCATCTGTTTTGGCATTTTCAAAATGCAATGTTTTGTCATTAAAAATGATACTTCCTTCAAAAGTTTGCCTAAATTTAATTTTAATAAAGAAGGAAAAGTAACCTCCCCCCCAAACCGGAAAACCACTTGAGATTATTTTTATTCAATTGTTTGGTTTGCTCAATGAAAATTAATTATGGAACTTGGATAACCTCAAACAGGGGCCATTGTCTTAGCCAGATGGCTACAGTAGCCTTTTCAAATAAAATAACTGAAAAAAATTAAATGAATATCATTGTACATAACGTTAACATACCTTTTTCAAAGATGCATATAATGGATTTCAGATGAGATCCCAAATATGCTTGCAACTCAAATTAACAGAAACCTCAGGGACAACATAGATCTATAAATTACAATGACTTATTATGTATTCTTCACTGCACTTGTTTGGCAATGCTTATAAAATATATATAAGACCTACTAAAGCCCTACTAAATACCTCAGTCACATGCAAAAGACTGGCATCCCTATATAAAACTGTTAGCGTTGTGCAGTTTTATTAAAAAAGAGGAAACTTTATAGAAAGAATAATATGGACAATTAACTAAACCAGAAGTGCAACTTGCAGCTTCTCTGATGAACCTGATTCTTATTTACAATATTCTACAATTGCAATAGACCTTAAAGGAGTTGCATATTACAATCACATTTGCTCTAAGGACCTTTTATACTGCCAGAGAGGCTTAATGGGAATTGAGTATGAATATGAATCTGATCCAACATTTTTCCTGTTCAGTTAAAGTATACAATTTTAAATTAAATTTAAACAGTTCAAATGAACCTCCCAACACTTAATTATTCAAAAAATTAGGATTTAAATTGACAAATAGGATCCTCCCCCCTTTTAATTATACAGATAATCAAACTATGAACTGCTAATTCTATCTTCTGGCTCTTAATTGTTTGTAAGTACTCAAAGATTAAAACTGAATGTCCAATTAAAAAAGACATTAAACTGTTGTGAGAGTTTATAAAAAGATAACACAAGTTTTGAATTAAATGGTCATTGGGGAGGAGATACTGCTAGGAACTGTGGTTTTAAAATGACTTTTCCCACCTTTTTATTGCATTGTACAAAAGTAGTTTCCTCAGGATTTTGCATCAACCTTCAATTTTGCTTTCGAATAAGGGAGATAATGAAACAGCTCAGATGAATGAAGCGATCTCCTACAATGGAGAAATCGGCACACCAAAATTAAAAGATCAATGGGAACTGGGAGGAGAAGTTTTTGTTTTGGGCCTAATCAATCTCAAGAGGTGGCACAGAATGTGGATAGGGAAAAAGAATGAGAATATGTTACCCAAGCCAAATTGTACTCCAAAGCAACCAGCATCGTGGTTGGCTTAAGAATAATGGGTATGGGACATGCTGAGATGTAACTCACTGGCTCCAGCACTCCACCCACTTGGGGCATTTTCTTTTTTCTTCTCCCCATTGATCTCCTTATGTTATTACCAATATTTATTATGTCGTCAGACAGCAGTATAGTTTCTGTATAATAGAAAAAATGTGGGTCCTGCCTGCAGAAGTATGCAACCTAAACAGAAACTCACAAATCACCTTCATTTCTGTGACTATCAAGAACAAATGTGCATGTTTCCAATTGCTCTAGTGGCTGAGCAACTCACAATCTTTTTTATATGTTTTCTCATTTTACATGTAAGAAACTAATGCAAGGAGAAACTGAGAGTAAAATTATCGGAGGTATCTAATTGATTTAGGGTCTTAAATCCCTGTTTTTTAGATCCCTTTCATGGTGGTCTATACCAGGAGAGGCAGACCTTGGAGGGATGGAATAGGCCTGGGCCGGAAGTTCGCTAATGGAGTTGCTCTGGTCTCATCCCCAGGAGCTGTTCTCTGCATGACAGAGACCAAGGCTTTGCGAGTAGAGTCTGAGGATGAGCCAGGAGTAGCTCCTACTTGGTTACCATCAGGCCTGAGTGTGGCTGCTGGGGATGAACTTTCAGCTCAGGAGCTTGCTCAGCTCAGCTAGGCTAGCCAGTTTTGACCTTCCTAGGACCCACCCTGACACGCCGTAGTGAAATGCACTCTTAGTTAAGTAAGGTGTCAGAATGGGACCCACAAAATGCAGCACAGAGAGCAGTTTTCTGCCTATGCTAGCCAATAGGAAGCATGGCTGTCAGTGCTGTATCTTAAATCCTACTCCTCTTTTGGGGGCATTTGTACATGACACAGGGGTTTAATTCTCCCTGAAATGAAGTGGTGTTTTTTTTTAAAAATACACCACTTCAATTTAGGGGTAAGTAAACCCCTGTGGAAACCATGCAGGCTGGTCTGCCTGCATGGTTTGCCTGCACAGCCCCTGACCCTCATGCAGCCTGGTGCTTCCCTTCATGGTTGTAGGGTAGGAAACTAAAATGCACAATATGCCACCGAATGTGCGAACAGCAATGCCATTAAAGTGGTGCAAAAGGCATTTAACCCGCTTTAAATTGTCATCTACAAATGCCCTAGGTGTTCAGTTCTTTACTTAGTGGTACAACAAGTAGTGCCACTCCACTCTGTGTTCACCTCATGGAACCTTCTCCTGAAGCTATATTCTTCAGACCAGTTTGTCAAAAACAGAGCATAGGTCACTGTTGTCAAATGTGGTCTGAAAAGTTGTCCCTCTCTTACCCAGTAGTTCAGCACTCAACAGGATGTGGGAGATGCACACTCAAGTTCCTTCTTTCCTTGAGGGATTTCAAACTTGCATCTCATCAAAGGATGCCCTGAGCACTGGGATAGAGAATTATTCTCATCCTTCTGCTTTCATTAAGTAAATCTTGAATACTCTTTTTCAAAGTGGAGCAGTTACACTGGGGGAAAAGGGGGAGGAAGGAGGAGATGTAGAGAGTGCATCTCCCTCTCCACTAAAATAACCTGTAGCTTAGTGGGCATAGACAACTCTATAACCTAATACAGAGATTGGCAACCTATGGCCTATAGTCTGTGGAACCATTGGATCTGGTCTGCAAGACATGGGACTTCATTGGCAATCAGTGCAGGGGGCTTCAGCTGCCAGTGCTCTCCTTATGCCACCACATAGACAAGTGGTGGCAGTGACTGGGTCACAGCACCCACCCATCTCCAACCCATGTGGTTCATTCCTACCTGGAGCTAGAAAATGTTGCCTACTTCTGATCTAATGGACACTTGAATGGGCATGGGTGAGTCTGTTTCCACAAGGGCTGTTGATGTATTACATTAAACACCCTTTGGGCAAAATGCACAGTCTTCAGAGTGGTTACTGGAGACCAGGCTTTCCCTTCCCAGTAAGTGTGCTGAACAGTAGGCCACAGAGTCAAGCTGACTTTTGTGTGATCTCTCTCTGGAGATTTGACTCTTGAATATTCATCTCCAAAGTAAAACCATTTCAAAAAGAGAGGTAAAGAGTGCTTCCCCACCCCCCCTGAATAGCTGATAGCCTGGTGGGTGGGGTAGTCTCCCAGAAGGTGGAAGATGCAGGTATGACTCTCCCTAGGCAGAGAGAATGGAACCCATGTCTTCCACATTATGGGTACAGTGTTGTGTCTCAGAATAGCCTGTCTCAGGAAAGCATGAGCATGGTGCTGGGGTATGTGCTCAAGGCTGTTCTAAGCCATCTGTGCTGCCTAATTTGTAGGCTTGGTTGCATGCTTTAGTAAGTAGTGTGAGCAGTTTGCGCTTTGTTTCTCGGCAGCAGTCCCAGACTTGGCAGGAAATCTTGTATAGATATGACCTAATTTTCTGAGTAGGAGCAAGGGGCAGGGCTTACTTCCTTGGAGTTGGTCCTGGGCAAGGCAGGGAGGCAGTACAGACATATTGTAAGCGACTTAAAGAAGTGGGTGATGAGAATGACCCAGGGTGTTGGAACTGGGAAAGACCAGGTTTCTTTACCTTAGCTAGGAGACAAATAAGAAGGGACACACATTTATTAAATAATGGAATGTTATAGAGGAAGGTACAATGGGAATTTCTGTGCTACCTATCTCATATCATCATGAAATTTAAGCATGAGAAATTGAAAATTATTAAAAGGAAATGCTTTTAACACAACTAGTAATTAAAACTGTGAAGTTCATTACTGCCTGAAATCATTCAGGCCAAGAAATTAACAAGCTTCAGAAAAAGGTTTGGATAGTTCCGTAGAGAGCAAAAATGGCTACGGATGTCATAGTTTACTATAACAAAGAATTATAAAAAATGTATTAAATCTTGTGCTTTGCGACTTAAGTGCTCTGTAGTTACTTAACATCAAGAGGAGACCTGCTGAGGGAACACCTTTACTGTGGTACTCTTACACCTTTCTCTGGAACATCTGTTACTGCTGGAGATAGGATTGTGAATTAAGCAGATTATGGGCAGGTCTTCTGTACTAGAGAAAGCTTTTCTGAATTTGGTGTACTCAGTTTGGTGAACAGTACTAAAATAACATGTTCTTCTAAACTTTTTTGATCTTTCTACCAGGCAAAATGTGCCAAGACTGGAGAGGGGTGATATCACAGAAACCTTTAGACATGCAAGAGAAGTTGAAGATGCCACAAATACATCAAATGGTATGCAAATCTATTTCCAATTGAGAAATAACAAATTACTACTACATACAACATTCTATGGGTGGATGTAGTAGTAGAGAGGAAAATTTTAATAGTGAATTCTATTTTTCAATGGTGAGTTCCTATAGTACATACAATACTGTCATCTAAAGAGCACTTCTCTTTTAAGGCACTTCATTTAGAAGGCTATAATACCCATCTCTAACTATATCAGTACCTTTCATAAACTTCTTTGCGCCTGAAAGTGGTAGGGGGGAGGAGACTTAGATTTTACCTAAAGCAGTTTAGCAATGTAAAGGTCTTCTGTACATTACATTTTTAAATTGCAACAGTTATATGTTACTTTATCACTTGGTGTAATACCACTTACTTACATTGCTTATCTAGAGAAGCCAAACTTCAGGAGAAGGTGGGGGAAGTATGCAGGTCTATTTCTAGCTATATTTTTTTTCACATCTTAAATTTCTCCAGTCAATTTGTTTAGCCGAAGTTTTTCTTATATCATACTTTCCACAATAGGATTTCCCCCCCAGGTTAAAAAACAGTTATTGTTTCATCCAGTCCTGTGAAATACAATCTTGCAATGAGACAATAACATTTCAGATTTTGTAGATAATAAAAAGACATTTAGACATTAAACAGTAAAAACTACGTTGCACTCTGAAGGTTGATGTTTCCTCCATTTTTTACAGACTGGAGGAACGTCTGGTATTTTTATTATTTCTAAGCTAAACTGGTTTTGAGTTACAGTATATTACAGGTTATTTGAAGTACTGTTTAAAGTGGTGAGAATCACTGGAAGTAACTTCAACAATTGCAATTTTTCCTTCAACTTTAGATCTGAATATGACCTTCCCCATAATAAAATCTTTGTTTTTACTTTAATGTATCAGCTTGTCTTCAAATTCTCGTGAAGGCTGAAAGTCTTGCAGAAAGAAAAGGGAAAGCATTTTTTTTCTTTAAATGTTTCTTTTGTTCTTGAAAGTAAACCACTTTTCATAAAGAAGAAAATGAAAGAAGGGGAGAACTTGATAACTTAAATTGATTTGGACAGGAGTCTTGATAGTCACAGTTGAAATCCTAACAACTCTGCAATTAAGGGATGTTATCACTAAAAGCCTTTTTTAGTGTGTTTCATTTATGAGCCACCATTAGGTAGATACAGTCAAACAATTGTGTGTAACCCTTTGAAAACATTTTCAATCCAGTCTTTGTATAAAGAACCACTTTCCCTACTGGCTTTTTTCAGTTAAAATTGTACCTTGTTTTAAGAGTCAGTTAATTCTCAGATACCTGGGAAACTAAGATATAAGACTGGAATGTACCAACTCAGAAAGCAGGTCAAGACTTTGCTATCCCAGGCAACCGTATCTTTAAACAAAGTCATAAACTCACCAAACACTATCCTAGGTATTTTGCTGTCATTACTTATCCCTGAAGCGCAGTCCTCCAGTGGACAGGTATCTTTTTCAAGTTTTCAGTATACATTTATTTATTCATGACTTGTTTATACCCATATGTGCTTGTGCCAACACTACCATTCAGCTTCTCCCTCCCTGGTACTTACCTGATGCAATCAAGTCTTCTTTGTCTTGCTAGGCAGCAAGCCAAAACAAGCCAAACTGTATACAGTCTCTCTGTGTCATTGCTGAGAAGCATGCCCAACTTGCTGTCCCATTCCCTGCCTTCCAAATTCTGGAAATAAGATAGGGTAATAGGCTTAAAGTGGCCCTGAGTATGAAACAGGATGAATGCCTGAGAGAGCATCTGAAAGTGGTGCTCAGGTAGGTTCTGAAATGGATCTATTGTCTCATTTCAAGGATTAGGCACCTACTGAGCAAAAGCAAGTGGGCAGAATGTGCTTTCTGATGGCAGTCCTCCCTAAAGCACTGAGGTAGTGCAGACAAACCCTTCATCCCCTCTCACAAATTTAATGGACCTTTTCTGCACATTTCAGCCTGCTTTCATCTTTTTTTGGAACAAAGGTAGTCAGATTGTACAAAGGATTCCAGAAGAGGTCTTAATAGTGCCTTTTAGAAAGGTGCTAATATTGTCTGTTTCTACTGGTAAAATCTCAACTTATATACTTTCCAGATAAACAATTGCCTTTTTATGGCTGCATTATTTGGTGGTGCATCATAGTCATCCTGTGATTGACTAGTGTACCGAGACCCTCTTCTCACTATCATTTCCAACCACTGAGCTCCCGCTAATAGTAGATTTCTTGGTATTAATTTCTCAGTGCATGACCTTGCACTTTGTACAAATAAATTTCATCCCATTTCCATTGCTGTAGTCCTCAGTGTCATCTAATTATTTCTGTAAAATATTTTGATACTCCTCCATTTTAATGATACTTCTCAACTGTCAGTCATCAGTGACTTTCATTGGCATATTCTTGTTATGCTCAGGTCCTTAATGAAAATATTTATTAAGATTGTTCACAAGACTGATTCCTGGGGCACACTGCTAGCAACTTCTCTCTATCCTTGTCAACACAACTTATCGTAGGCTCTTCTTTACCACATTAGAATTAGTAAAAAACTACAACTAGAGAATGGACTTCATTTGAGGGTAGGTCATTTTCATAGATGTAATAGATTTCATAGACATAAGGGGCTGGACGGGACCTCGTGAGATCATCGAGTCCAGCCCCTGCTCCTCCCCCCACCGCGATAGGTAGGAAGTCAACTGGGATAAAGTGATCCCAGCAAGAAAAATATCCAGACATTTTTTGAAAGAGTCTAGAATAGGTGTTTGCACCACCTCTGGGTGGGGAGTCTGTTCCAGACCCTGGACACACTCACTGTAACAAACTTTTTCCTTATGTCTAGTTTAAATTGGCCTTCCTGGAGTTTGTGGCTGTTAGACCTTGTTATCTCTTGGGGAGCTCTGGTGAACAGCTGTTCCCCCAGGTCCTGATGTACCCCTCATATAATTGTAGGCTGCTACCAAGTCACCCCTGAGCATTCTCTTTTCCAAACTGAAGACTCCTAAATCCCTCAGTCTCTACTCATATGGCCTGGCCTCCAGGCATGGGATCATATGAGTGGCTCTCCTCTGGACTCTCTCAAGCTTTTTCACATCCTTTCTGAAAAGGGGGGCCTAAAACTGGATGCAGTTCTCTAGATGCGGCCTCACCAAGGCTGAGTAAACCGGGAGGATGACATCCTTGGTTTTGCTTGAGATTCATCGGTACATGCACACCAGAATTAGGTTTGCTTTGCCAACCACAGCATTGCATTGGTGACTTATATTCATCTTGTAATTAATCAGGATCCTCAAGTGTCTTTCGGTCATGGTGATAGCAAGCGTAGCACTGCTGAGCTTGTAAGTGTGCTGAGGGTTCTTCCTACCGAGGTGGAGCACCCTACACTTCTCAACATTGAAGGCCATCTGGTTTTGGCCAGCCCACCTTGAGAGCGTGTCTGAGTCGGCCTGTATCCCCAGCCTGTCCTGCCGTGTGACTGCCCTTCCCCATAATTTGCTGTATTCTGTGAGCTTTGCCAGTTTGCATCTGACTTCCGACTCCAGATCATTAATGAAGATGTTAAAGAGCACCTGCGCAAGTACTGAGCCGTTTTGATATGGGATTATTACAAAGTTATATTTTCACAATATTTAAGATAAATCATGGAGCATACACACATGGATATGACAAAGTATTCAAGTGTTTTTGAATATCAATGTGTGTGTGTGTGTGTGTGTGTGTATATATATATATATATATATATATATATATATA